GGGTCCAGGCTGGGGATCCGAACCCGCCACCTTAGGTGTACGTGGCTGGCGCCTTAGCCGGTTGAGCTATAGGCGCTGAGCCGAGAACCACATTTAACAAAATGATTTCCTAGCTTTTAATTTTCATGTGCTACATAGATTTTTTTTTTCCTTTATTGTTCAGGATTCGTTGAAGGTACAACGAATTAGGTTACATTGATTGTGTTTGTTAGGTAAAGTCCCTCTTATAATTGTGTCCCGCCCATAAGAGGTATGTCATACACCGGCGACCCCCATCCCCTTCTCCCTCCCCCATCCCTCATTCTCCTACCCACCACCTTGTATTAGATCATCTACTGCCTTCATATTAGGCTATGTAGATTTTTAAACAAATTCTTCATAATAATCTTGATAACTTATCATTTTTTTCTTTTTTTCCGCTTTGTGAATGATTTTTCCCCCATTAACGAATTCTTTGAAAATATTTTCCATTTTATTGATATACCATAACTTGTTAGCCATTCAGGATATTTTCAGTTTTTCATCATTATAAACACTGAAAAAGCCTTTATATATATATATATATATATATATATATAGAAATATTTGTACATATCCTGTTTCCCTGGGAGACTTTTAAAAATGAAACAGTTGGGCCCAAGGACATAAATATCTTTAAGACTCTTTTGTCTTATGACACAAAAGTATTTTCTAGAAGGACCCTAGCATCTTGCATTCCTCTCAACACTAGCTATTATTTTTGTAAATATTGTTCTAGTGAAAATTGGAATGTTACTGCTTTATTTGTATTTCTGTGATTAGTCTGAGTTAAATCTTCTTTCATATTTATTAACTATCTGCATTCTGTGCTTCATCTGCTGATACCTCTGTCTGTCTTTTTCTTAGGAGTTTGTACTTGTGTCTTCCTCCTTAGGTTAAAATGCTTATACGTTGTAGGAAGAGTATAGTTTAATGAAAAGGCATTGTCTTTGAAGTCAAGACCTGAGTTTGAATGCAGGGCTTACTGCTTATTGCATCTTAGCAAATACAGCTTTGGTCAAGTAACTGAATGCTGAATCTTTTGCTGTTTTAAAAGACAGTGAGACCTGCAGAATAATATAATTGTAAAACTTAAGTAAATTTGTATAAATATGTGTATAGGATGTTAAATATATACCTAGCATATAGTAGAGTTTTATTCTCATTTGAATCAATATGAATTTTTTTCATATGCATGTTAATTTTTATGTAACCCTGTGCCTTTCTCTTTGATTTCTTTTTGCCATTCAGTAAAAATAACTTTTCCCTTACAGTTAATTTTATATTCATGGATATTGCTTTTCAGGTGTTGTAAGATTTTCTTTTGTACTTAAATATTTAATAAATAAAGAATTTATTTTGGATTTCATCACTCTTTAGGATATGATCTACCTCTGGGCCATTGATTTGATGATATTTTATTATCATATTAACTTCCTAAATATGGCAACATTCGTTTGGTGATGTCTTTTTTGTTTTACTGAGACATGTGTCAGTTCTTCAAGTAGTACACCACCACTGTATCATAGTGTCACCATCACAAATGCTACATTTGGTAGGGCAAGTCTCCTTCCTTAATATTTTTCTTTCCGTATTTGGCTAAATATTTTCAGATGTATATTTATCAGATAAATAAACCTTTCTTAGATCCTTACTTTCTCTTCCCGAATTCCACTGGGACTGAGTTAAAAATAGAACTGAATTTGGGAAATATTAGCATCCTTAGAATATTTGGAATTATAAAATGTCTCTTCCTATATGTAGGTCAAATATGTGTCTCAGGCAAGTTTTCCAGATTTTTCCCCCATACAGAGCCCGCATATTTTTTGATCTAGGTTATTCCTGAATGTTTTGTTTATGACCATTGTAAATGAGATTTCTCTGTTGCCTGAGGAATGCTGGTCTTGAGAGATGTCCCTTAACCACTGAGAATTTCATGCTTGGTTCAGTTTGCAGAACAGACTGTAGTATATTTCCCTTTGGAAGGTTCATGGTATTTAAGGTCGTCACAAGTTCTAAGTTGAAGTAACTTATTTAACTTTAAGAAAAAGTTTTGTGGCAGGTTCGAACTCAGCCCAGGCCAGCTAAACAACAATGAGAACTGCAACAAAAAATAGCCGGGCATTGTGGTGGACGCCTGTAGTCCTAGCTACTTGGGAGGCTGAGGCAAAAGAATTGCTTAAGCCCAAGGGTTGGAGGTTGCTGTGAGCTGTGATGTCATGGCACTCCATTGAGGGCAACATAGTGAGAATCTGTCTCAAAAAAAAAAAAAAGAAAATGTTTTCTAAAATCAATTATCCTTGGAACCCATATTTACTTGTAGTAACTGGCATTTGGATAACTGAATATCTGGCATTTGATTTTAAAGTGTTCAGATTTCACTTAAATATTAGTAAAAGGAAAATATTTAATTAATAATGAAATTATTTCATTTAAATATTAATAAAAGGAAATATTTCATTCAAAAATTCATAAGCACATTATAAAGTACCACTCCAGTTCTGCTGGCTCTGCATAGCTGAACTTAGAGCCCTCTGCCCTAGAGTTCTTAGGCTTTTTGTGCCTTCTTGTCTTGTTTGGCCTCCTGACTGGCACTTTGGGACCACTGTCTCTGGGCAGTGGGCTCCAATGAGCAGCAGTTGTACTGTTTTCCAGGCAACAGAGGAGGGAGTGGGCCTGCCAGTGTTATTCCCTTTCCCAACAGAGAAGTCCAGCCAGATTTATGGGCAGGCTTTGTTATTTTTATTCTGAGTGGGTGTGTGAGAGAGAGAGAGAGAGAAGGAGGGAGGAGTGTGGATAGCTGCAGAAGCTGAGAGTTCAAGAGGACCAGGAAGACTTGAAGGGTAGTGGGGGGGACCTGGGGAAGGCAGGCAGGTGGAAGGATTAGAATCAAGAGAGGGTAATGGAATGGTGGCTAATATCTGCGAGACATATAAACAGCCTGTGTTTGGGGTGAGGCCTACCTTGTTTCATTGTGCTTCCCCGATATGGTGATTGTTACAGATGGAAGGTTTGTGGCAACCCCAAGTGAAGCAAGTCTGTCAGGGCCATTTTTCTAGCAGCATGTGCTCCCTTCTTGTCTCTGTCACTTGTTGGTAATGCTCACAGTATTTCAGACATTTTCATTATTATTGTATCTGTTATGCTGATCTATGACCCGTTGTCTCTGATGTTCCTGTTGTAATTGAGTAGAGCCTCACTAATGGGACACAGTGAACTTCATGGATAAATGCTGGTGTTTTGGCTGCTCTACCGACCAGCCATTTCCCTTCTCTCATCCTCTTCGGGCCTCCCTATTTCCTGAGACACAACAATATTGAAATTAGGCCAGTTAATAATCCTGCAGGTGACCTCCAAATATTCAAGTCAAAGAAAGTTGCACATCTCTCACTTTAAATCAAAGCTAAAAATGAGTCATCTTAGTGAAAAATGCACATTGAAAGCTGAGATAGGAGGCTCGGTGCCTGTGGCTCAAGCAGCTAAGGTGCCAGCCACATACACCTAAGGTGGCGGGTTCGAATCCCCAGCCTGGGCCCACCAAACAACAATGATGGCTGCAACCAAAAAATGGTCAGGCGTTGTGGCAGGCGCCTGTAGTCCCAGCTACTTGGGAGGCTGAGGCAGGAGACTCGCTTGAGCCCAGGAGTTGGAGGTTGCTGTGAGCTGTGATGCCATGGCACTCTACCCAGGGGGATAGCTTGAGGCTCCGTCTGAAAAAAAAAAAGCTGAGATAGGCCAAAAGTTAGGCTTCTTGTGGCAAACAGCCAAGTTGTGAATGGGAGAGAAAAGTTCTAGACAGGAATTATTAGTGCTACTCCAGGGAGCATGCCAGTGCTAAGAGAGTGAAACGGCCTTACTGCTGTTACAGAGACAGCTTTAGTCGTCTGCACAGAAGATCGAATCAATCACAACATTCCCTTCAGCTAAAGCCTAGCCCAGAGCAAGGCCCTGAGAGGGTGAGGAAGCTACAGAAGAAGAGTTGGAAGCTGACCAGCAGAGGTTGGTTTGTGAGGTTTGAGGAAAGCATTCTTCATAACAGAAGTGCCAGGTGAGGCAGCGAGTGCTCACGTAGAAGCTGCTGCAAGTTATCCAGACGATCTAGCGGAGAAAACTGATGGAAGCCGCGACACTACACAGATTTTCAAAGTAGATGAAACAGCCTTCTACTGGGGGATGTTCAGTTTAGGACTTTCGTAGTAAGAGGGGAGAAGTCAATGCCTGGCTTCAAAGGACAGCTGACTCTCTTCTTCGGGACCAGTGCAGCTGGTGACCTTAAATTGAAGCCAGTGCTCATTTACCATATCCCAAGGCCCTTAGGAATTATGCTACATCTACTCTACCTGTGCCCTGGAAATGGAAGAATAAAGCCTGGAAGACAACATATCTGTTCATTGCATGGTGTGCTGAGTATTTTAAGCCCCCTGCTGAGAATTACTGCTCAGAAAAAAGATTGCTTTCAAAATATTACTGCCTATTAATAATGCACCTAGTCACCCAAGAGCTCTGATGGAGTTGTATAAGGAGATTGTTGTTTTTATGACTGCTAACACATCTCTTCTGAAGCCCATCAGCCAAGGAGTAATTTCTACTTTTAAGTCTTATTTATTTTTTATTTTTTAGAGATAGAGTCTTACTCTGCTGCCCAGGCTGGAGTGCAGTGGTGGAATCATACCTCACTATATGGCCCAGAGCTCTTGAGCTCAAGTGATCTCCCTGCCTCAGCCTCCCAAGTAGCTAGAGTACAGGTTGTACCAGGAGGCCTGGCTAATTTTTTATTTTTTATAGGGACAGTCTGGCTCTATTGCCCAGGCTGGTCTTGAATTACTAGGCTTAAGTGATTCTCCTGCATCAGCCTCCCAAAGTGCTGGGATTATAGGCGTAAGCCACTAAGCCTGGCCTGAAGTCTTATTATTTAAGAAATAACATTTTGGGCAGTGCTTGTGGCTCAAAGGAGTAGGGTGCTGGCCCCATATGCCAGAGGTGGTGGGTTCAAACCCAGCCCCAGCCAAAAACTGCCAAAAAGAAATGACATTTCATGAGGCTATAGCTGCCATGGATGGTGATTCTTCCAAAAGATCTGGAGAGGGCACATTAAAAACCTCCTAGAAAGGATATACCATTCTAGATGCCATTGAGAACATGATTCCAGCATTCACTGAGATTAAAATATCAACATTGTGGTATGAAGTAGTGCAAATTCTGGTAGATTTTCAGTACATTTTTCTGAGTATTCCAGATAGATGTCAGTTTACACAAAATGAAAATAATTGTTTTACTTTTCAGCAGTTTTACCAGTTATTTATCTCGTATTGGCCAGAAACTTCTAGTAAAAATACTAAATGACAGTGCTGAAAGGCATCTATTTCATTCCTTTTGGAAATGCAAAATATATATCAGGAGATTAGAAAGGTTTTTGTTTTGCTTTTATCATGTTAAAGAGATGTCCTTAATTCTAATTTAAAAATCAGTAGTGGGAGTGAGTGCTAAATTTTTATAAAATGTCACTGCCTGTTTATATGATGGATTTTCCTAATATTACACCTTCACTATGTATCTTTAGAATAAACTATAGTGGCTCTTAGTGGATTCTTTTTAACGTCAGCTCTCATTTCATCGAGCATTTTTATATCTGCTCGATAAAAAGTGAGATTAGTTTATATGGTTGTGAGTAGAGGACTGCTGCTGTCTTTACTGAGTTTTAATTTCAGAATTATGCTAACATTGTAAGATTTGCCTACCTTCTTTCATTTCTTCTTGTCTTTTTGACGTGTTGTAGAATAATTTATATTGGCTTAGAATGAACTGTTTCCTCAAAGCACTGTGTAAAGCCATCTTCTGGAGTTTGTTCTTGTTAGTGGGTTTGTTAAGTACTTATTTGGAGGGGGATAGCTTCAGGGGTCATGAGTTTCTGTTTTTCCATTTCTTTGATTAATTTTGGTATTCTCATTTTAAAAAGCATTTCTGTCTCAGTTTTGTTTTCAAAGATACTCGGAAAGAATAGATTTGGATTTTTTTTCTTTTTGGTCTTTTATAAGTTTTAAACCATTAAGAAATGCTTATTAATCAAAATGTTCTTTATTAACCTTATGAAAGTCAATAAATTTTGGTCTTAGATATATGTTAGAGAGCTTAGCATACAAATTTTAGCTAATACCTGGTGCTTCTTACAGAGATCAGCAAGCAGAATATGATCATTCAAGAAAAAAAAGATAACTTGTTACAGTTGATTGCTGAAGTAAAAGACAAAAAGCAGGAATTGGAAGCAGTGACTGCAAAAATCCAGGATCTTAAGGAAGAGTATTCTAGGAAGAAGGAAAGTAAGTTCCAGTTGTAAACATATTTAAGGCATTAATCTAAATTTGGAAGTGGTGATGATTCACAATTATGTGTATCTTGCTTGCTCCAGCCATTTGCAAAAAAATAGATTATAGTGCCTCAGGGCATAACCAGCTGCTCATCTCTGCCAGGTGTCATTAAAGTTAGCTAAGTGAGTTTTATTTTCTTTTGTTTTGGGGACTTCTCCTTGGATTTCTAATATAACTAGTAATAAGGAAACCGATATGAAGGTTTAATTAAGCAGAGTAGGAAACAGTGTCACTAAATAAGATTTGCTATGGAGAAGCCATAGTGTAATTTATGTAGCTACATTTATTGGTGTTGTACAATATTGATATTATGCAACATAATTTATTGACCATACATTCTCTGCTATATATCGTTAAGCACTCTGATTATACTGCAAGGTCTCTTTGTCAAAAAAAAAAAATATATATTCAAATGAATGCTTTTTTTAGGAAGGAATCGTTTTGTTGTTTTTTTTTGCCCACAAACTAAGTAACCAATTCTTCAAATCTCTTGAAAATAGAAAAATTTGTTTTGTTAATGATTTTTCTTATATAGTTCTTATCCAAATCTAAATTGTGAAGTTATTTCTCTTATGATAAGTATTTCCTAGAGTCTACTATAGTAACTTAAAAAAAATCTCAACTAGCATAAAATAAGGCTGATCTTTCATGAGAAATAGTTATGCTCAAAGGAATAGAATATTTTTCCCATGATGCAATTAGTGTATCCTCAGCTGTCCAGAAAAAGCAAAATCATGTAAGTATAAAGTCTTTCTACTTCTGTGCCAGCCAGCCATGCAAATCCCTGGCATATATATTCAGGCTACTACATTTGAAAAATAAAAAAGGCAAAACTGTATAATAAAATAGAATAAGACATATTCCTTTCACTATCCGTATATATTTTTCTTGAGCAATTTTTCTTTCCAACCTGAATAAACAAGCTTTTTTTGCTAATTGGTAGAGGGAGAAACAGAATAACTGTAAGTAGATTCATAGGCTTCACATTGTTTTCATAGTTTAACTAATAAAATAAGCATTGAGTGTCAATTAAAATATTTGATCCTGTGTATGTTTTTTCCTCATAGCTATTTCTGCTGCCAACAAAGCAAATGCAGAGAAGTTGAAAAGGCTGCAGAAATCTGCAGACTTGTATAAAGATCGGCTTGGACTAGAAATTCGAAAAATTTATGGTAAGTATGCTAATATAAGTAAAACATAGGAGATTAGAAAAATATGTCTTGTCTTAAGCAGAGGAGAATTTAAAAAATATTTTCAACTAAAATAAATGACCACATTGACTTTTCAGAAAATAGGAAAAAACTAGTTTTTTAAAATCATTAGCACAGTTAATGATGCTTTGCTTATTCACTTTAAATATTTTAATAAATGTATTTTTTTGGCATGTTTGTCAACATGCAAATAATTTTTGTTCTTTGTTCTTAGTGGCCTTGTGTTGTTATTATTTCTCTAGTTCCTATGGCCTTTGCAGTAATTTTTAATTTATTCAGTCATTTATCTATTGTTTAATACATATATTGCTTCTACTAACCTTTGGATTCTGGCAGGATGTTGTAGTTTTAGAAATGCAGTAATCCACTCTTATCCACACTCTTGAAAATATTAAATGGATGAGTAGAGTGCAGTAAGACATTTTGAGAGAGACCATATTCATGTAACTTTTATTACAATATCTTGTTTTAATTGTTCTATTTTATTACTAGTTGTTAATCTCTTACTGTTTATAACTTAAACACTATCATGGTATGTACGTTGGAAAAAACATGGTACAGGTGGTCCCTGACTTAGGATGACTCAACTTAAAACAATTTTTTGACTCTACAGGGAGTTTTGTGAGATATTAAGTGCATTTTTGACTTATGGTGAGTTTATCAGGACATCACCCCTTTGTAAGTTGGGGAGCATCCACGTACACAGGGGTCAGTGCTATCTGCAATTTCAGGCATCCACTGTGGGTTTGGGAATACATCCCTGATAGATAGGGGAGGACTGTTGTGTGACAGTGAATATTGTTTTCTACATTTTTTGGTATACTTTTCATGGAATTGTTTCCCAGAGAAGAATTACTAGGTTAAAGCACATGAGTGTTTTAATGGCTGTCAACGTATACATGTATATAGACTCATGTATGGCAATGTGTGCTATATTGGGGCTAAGATGCCCCCAGGTATGATGATTCTCTAGGAGGACTTGTCAGACCCAGTATATAGTCAAATTCATGGCTAAGATTTATTGCAGTGGTATAAAACAGAATCAGCAAAGGGAAAATAGCACACGGGGCGAAGACTTAGAGGAAACCGTCCGAGCTTTCAAGAGTCCTACCAGGATGTGCTTAATTCCTTCTGCATGGAACTGTGACTGCTCTACTGGGAAGCTCATTAGAAACATGAAAGCTTGTGCCTGGTTTTCCTTGAACTTTACCCCATGCATCTTTTCCCTTTGCTGATTATGCGGCATCTTTTCTCTGTAATAAATTATAGTCCTGAATACAACCTTATGTTGAGTGAATCCTCCTAAGGAATCTTCAAACCTGGAGTGGTCTTGAGGATCCAAGATCCACTAGCCAAGAGCTAATGAGGCAAGCAGGCCTTCCTAAGGTTCTAAAGATAACAGTCTCAGTCCTCCTATCTCTTTTATGTACACTTTTCTGCAATGTAAGAACTCATTTCATTGTATTGTTGCCAGATTTAGAGTGGGGGCAGCTATATAGGCATGAGTAGAACTTTTTCCTAAAAATGCGTTTCTTCTATTTTTTTTTTGAGACAAGGTCTCACTCTGTCACCCCAGCTGGAGTACAGTGGCTTCACCATAGCTCACTGCAACCTCAAACTCTTGGCCTTAAGCAATCCTCCTGCCTCAGCTTTCCAAGTAGCTGGGCCTGTAGGAATGTGCCACCATTCCAATCTTACATTTCTTTGATTATTTATGAAAGATGACCACTTTTTCCTCCCTTTGTTTATGAATTATATTTTTTCTTTGCCTGTGTGAGTCCTTTATCCATATACCTAGTGATCTTGGTGTTTTTCCTACCAATTGGAATGAGTTTTTAATAAGAAATATTAACCTTTTGGTTAATAGAAAATGGAAGGTCCAGCAATGAACTTGTGATTCATTGAACTCTAAGTCTATATTCACTGTCATCCTAAGGTGCTTTTTCATTTAGTTTGCATTTAAACAGCCAATATTAAGCCTTTACAGTTGTTTTTAGATTCAAAATAGAACTTTGTCATAGCATACCAAATCAGGACATAATATTTTAAGGAAGAGAAAGCCCAAATTATAACCCTTCATTTTTGTCTGAGTATCTTATGAGATTTTTCTTCTTTGGCACATATCCCTCTCGTTACTATTAACAGTTTAAAAATCTGTTATACTGGCCAGGCGTGGTGGGTCACACCTGCAATCCCAGCACTGTGGGAGGCTGAGGCAGAAGGATTGCTTGAGGCCAGGAGTTTGAGACCAGCCTGGGCAATAGAGCAAGACCCAGTTCTACAAAACAGAAAAATCATCTGGGCCTGCTGGCATGCATGTGTAGTCCGAGCTACTCAGTAGTTTGAGGTTGTGGTAAGCTGTGATGATGCCACTACTTTCTAGCCCAGGCAACATAGTGAAACTCTGTCTCAAAAAAAAAAAAAAAAAAACACGGCCTGGTCGGTATGCTAACATAATTATGTTATTCTAAAACTGATTGCATGACAAGTTTTTTTAAGGTTTCTAAAGTTTCCGTTTTATAATGAAAAAAATTTTTAGTGAGGTTTTTTTTTTTAGTTATACTGTAGAAAAAAGCTAAAATGCGTATGAATTTATACTTCATGGCTGCTGTTTTGAATTTTCACAAAGCATTTACTTCTTTGGGAGCATTTGCAGATCTATTGGAATATAGGCTTTAAGTTTAGGTAGCTATAGAAAAACATTAAATTTGTTTAAAAATCCTTTTTTTGTGATAAACTATAATATAAAATTTGCCATTTTAACCATTTTTAAGTGTTTAATTCATGACCTTAATTACATTTACAATATTGTTCAACCATCACCAACCACTATCTATTTCCAAAATTTTTCATCACCCCAAACTGAAACTCTTTACCCGTTAAGGAGGAACTGCCAGTTCCTCCATTACCCATCCCCTGGTATCTCACACACTGGTCATATAGGTTAGTTACTGGTTCTGTAGTAGGCTAAAGCCTTAGATTTATGAAGAATATATATGATAATAATGTGAAAAAGAAGAGAGTTGAAATATATTTATTTTTTTTATTCTTCTCATGCCCCTGTATAAATAATCCTTAATTTACTGAAATTCATAAAAACAGTTCTCAGCTAAGGACACCTGTGACCTCTAACCTACTTTCTGTCTCTAGGAATTTATCTTTTCTATCCTACATATTTCATATGAGTGGAATCATGTAATATACTGTATTTTTTGTGTGTGTCTGGTTTATTTCACTTAGTATTATATTTTCAAAGGTTCATCCATGTTGTAGCATATATCAGAATTCATTCCATTATGGCAGAACAATATTCTCCTGTCTGTGTGTGTTTATACATATATAGTACGTTTTGTTTATCATCTGTTGGCGGACACTGCGTTATTTCATCTTTTGGCTATAATGATTAATGTTTAATGAGTTAATGATTAATGTTGGTATGAATGTTGACTTACAGTTTTCTGTTTGAATCTCCATTTTCAATTCTTTTGAGTATATACCTAGGATTAGAATTGCTGAGTCATATGGTCAAATAATTATATATTTAAACTTTTTGAGGATTTGCCAAACTTTTCTATAGTGGCTATACCATATCACATTCTCACCGGCAGTGTGCTAGGGTTCTAATTTCTCCACATCCTCACCAACACTGTTATTTTCTGTTTATTTATTTTACTGCCATCCTACTGAGTGTGAAATGGTGTTTTATTGTCATTTTGATTTGCATTTCTTTAATTGAGGAGAAATAAGTCTACACTTCCTGGTGGTCCTGAGAATGCAGCAGAACAGCTGCAGAAGAACTCAGCCTCCAAAGATAAGAAAGAACTTTAAGAAATGTACTAAATAGGAATAACCTTGACAGAGACTATGTAACAGATAATATCACTCTGGTTTTTTGAGAAATATTAATCATTAACTTTTTTATGACTTTTTGGCTTGCTAACTAAAAATTTCCCATGACCTAACATCTGTAACTGTAATTGTAACCAAGCATGTATATGTCTTACTAGAGCAGTATAAGAGAGCTTTGTGGGAACAACTCAGGGGGCTCGGGGCTTTAGAGTTCATGACCTGCTGGGTCCCTGCCAGCTAATAGATTCCTTCCCCTGTACTCTTGGTGTGAGAGTCTGTTGGTTTTGATTCACCTGTTTCTGTAACATAATGACTAATGATGTTGAGCATCTTTTCATGTATTTATTGGCCATGTATTCTTTGGAATAATGTTCACTCAAATCCTTAACCCATTCTTAAATTGCATGGTTTTTCTTTGTTCATTTGTAGGAGTTTTAAATCTATCATGTATATTCAGTCTTTATCAGATAAATGGTTTCTAATATTTTCTGATATTCTTTTCAGTTCTAGATTGTCTTTTCCTTCTCTTCATAATGTTTTTAAGGAACAAAAATTTTGTCTTTTCCTTCCCTTCGTAATGTTTTTAAGGAACAAAAATTTTTAATTTTAATGAAATCAGATTTATGTTTTCTTTCATTGGCTTTGGTTTTTGTGTGGCATTTAAACTACAGTGTATTTTGAAACTAATTTATAACTTTTACATTTGGAGACATTGGGTAAGTGACTATATATACTTAGCAGTACAGATATTGATTAGAGACAGGAAAAGAAAGCTTATTTCCAGTGCATGCTTTGGCATACTAAAATATTCTGGTATTAAGTAATTTAATCTCTTTTTTCAGGTGATAAATTGCAGTTTATATTCACTAATATTGACCCTAAGAATCCTGAGAGCCCGTTTATGTTTTGTCTGCATCTCAATGAGGCAAGGGACTATGAAGGTATGCACCGATGTCACTGAGCTGGTATTTAAGGTTGGCATCCCAAAATGTTAATTGAATCTGAGTACAAAGGAATAGGAAGGAAAGTAGCATTTCACAAGCTTGCTTCCTTTTCTAGTCTTGCTTCTCAGGATACAGTCTCCTAAGGGATGTGACTGTGGTTTTGATTTAGAGATATTATTTAGGTGTCTTAAATTTGAGGTAATGTCTCTTCAGGGTGGCACAGTACCACAGTGACTGAAAAGGCTAAAAAACCAAGATCCCTGCATTTCATAAATCTGAATTGTCTTTTTAGAGAACTTTTAAAAAAGCTAAAGCTTTAAAGGGTATGTCTGCCTAAATGTGAATATTATAATTTATTCTAGTAAGTGATTTTGAAATCAAATATAAAATCATCAGAATTTAATAATTTATTTCCCCCCCAAAATTTTTTTCAAAAAGCTATCCTACCCTGAAAATCTCACACATTGATAATGTAGGTTAGTTACTGATTCTACAGTAGGCCAAAAGCCTTTGATTTATGAAGATTGTGTATGATTGCTAATACTATTGTGAACAAGAACAGAGTTGAAATATATCTATCTTTTTTATTCTTCTAATGCCCCTATATAACTAATACTTAATTTATTAGAATCCATAAAAAGTCCTTAGCTCATTACACCCATGCTATCATCTTATAGCATTTATAGCTGACAGATACTCAGATGAATTGCTAAGTTAGTGCTCCACCGTGCCCTGGTGAATCTATCCCTATTCTAATGGAATTTATATCTTAGGAATCTAACTCATATATAAATGTTTGGGGTTTTTTCTTTTTAGGTAATTATCTTCCAGTCTAAAGAGTGCTAGATGTTAAAAAGCAAGCCCATAAAACCTCTTAACTAGCTTTTCAATTTTCTCTAAATTTTTCTCCTCTATTACTGCGTAGTCTGGTGGTATATGACAGCAGGTTAAAGTACAATCTACAGGATAAATTTTGAACTGAATGCTCTTTACTGTTCTTTCTCTGCTATAGACATGGACTTTGTTTCCTAAGCATTCTTTACCAAAGAGGTGGAAATCTGATATTGCTGGATTTCCTTCCCTTGGACAAAGGATGAGATTGATGGCAGAGAAAACCGGATCATTCTTTTCCTTTGACCACCCTCACTGGAGACTTGCTCCCAGTATATCAGCTGGTGCAACTCCATAGAGGGCCATAGTGTTATTTGTGGGTTTTTTGAGCCTCATTTGATTAATAGGCCCTGTAAATACCACTCTTGGAATAGCAACCACATTTTCTAATGCCTTGCATTTCAGTTGTAGAACATTAGATATTTCTTTCCAAAATTGTAAGTTATTAAGGATTGGCTTTGAAGATTTTTCTTTTTTTGTGCAGTGGCCGGAAACCAGAAGTCAGTCAGGGCAAAGCTTTACAGAGAAAAATGACTTAACAGTTAAACTGTTAAAACAGTTTAGGAAGTTAAAAGAAAATGTACAGATTTACAGAGATGGGAAATGGCATTTTGCATCGCTAAGCTCTTCAGTGCTTGAATACCATCTGTTTAAATTTAAAGCAAGTTTATAGTACTTGAGATTTGAATATTTAGGAATTAAAGAAAGGACAGGTCCAAAAGATAGCTAGCATATGAAAATCAAGTGTATCATTTTATGCTCAAAGGATTTCATTAAACTGGACTTGACATTCAAATCAAGTGAGAGCATCTAAATTGGAAATACTTCTCTGCCACAGAAAAATCTCATTCAAATTCTTTGATTTTTTTTTTCTAGTGTCAGATAGTTCTCCTCACCTTGAATGCCTAGCAGAACTTCAAGAGAAAGTAAGGAAGACCAACAATTTTTCAGCTTTTCTTGCTAATGTCCGGAAAGCTTTTACTGCTACGGTTAATAATTAATGTATAAATATATAGATTCCCTATCATGTATTTCTTTTTAAAAGAATTCTCACTATCTGTTGTCTACCTATCACCTCTGGTATTTTTGTAACATTTCCGTGTGGTGTATTTGCTTAAGTCACAGTGTCCCCATGTTGTTTGCCGTTTTGTTTCCTGCAGTTTCAGTTACCTGTGCTCAGTCATGGTCCAAAAAGATAGGATACTTCGAGAGAAAGAGAGAGACCAGTCACATAACTTTCATGGCAATGCTTCAGTTTGGGACCTGGCTGGAGTGGGCCCCCAGTTTGGGGGAGACAGAACTGAACACAGACTCCTCCAGTCCTAGAGAGTCAGAGCTGACTGGAGGGAGGACCCCAGTCAGAGCCATGAAACTTGATACTGATTTGTTTTCTCAACAGGGAAGTTGACTCATTCCAAGATTAGGGGTTATCCTGGCAGTCGGACTCCCTTAAAATAATTGGTAGTGTGTTTTTAGCACATCCTGCATGCCCAGCACTGTCAAAAGCTGGGCTCATCTACTGTATCTCCTCATTTCTATTCTCAACAGTCTGTGACAATCCATAACTCTGCTGTATAAAGCGGGAATCTATAGATAGGGAATCCAGGATGCCAGGAGTTAAACTAACTTCAAGGCACGTGGCTGGCCAGTGTTGGGATCAAAATCACTTGACAGGCTCGCAACTAAATCCTTGAGCTACACCTAAACAGCACTTTATTGCCGTTCCATACTAGATTGCAGGGAAGTATGTAAAGACAAAGTTCTTAAAGATTCTAAATAAATTTGAACTTCCGTGATATAATTTAGCTTTTGTGTCTCTATAGAAGCATAATTATTAAGAATAAAAATTAAACTTTCTTGAAAGCGGGGAAGGAATATCTTTTGTCTGGGTCCTTAGTGTCCTAGTCCATTTTTATGTTGCTCTAAAGGAATACCTGAGGCTGGGTAATTTTAAGGAAAAGAGGTTTATTGGGTTCATGGTTCTGCAAATGGTACAAGAAGCATAGTGCCAGCATCTGCTTCTGGTAAAGGCTTTAGGCTGCTTCCACTCATGGTTGAAGGGGAAGGGAAGCTGGTGTGTGCAGAGATCATATGGCTAGAGAGCAAGCCAGAGGGGGGAGCAGGTGCCAAACAATTCCCCTGGGATCCAGTGGAGCCAGAACTCATTTACGATGAGGACCAGCACTAAGCCGTTGATAACTGAGCCTCCCCCATGACCCAGACACCTCCCACTAAGCCCTACATACAACAATTGGGATCACATTTCAACATGAAATTTGGGGGGGTGGGGCAAATAAACCATATCCAAATCATAGCAGTGAGGAAATAGCCTCACTAAAATGGCAAGGCAGCTGCAGATCTCAGTGAAACAATGAGCAGAGTAACTGGATTTTAGAAGTTCAGTGGCTCATCGAGAAGTTTAGTTTTAGGGATGTAGATTCCAGTCATCAACTCAGGCCTTTATGTGAATGGTGAGTAGAAGGGCTGTTGACTTGTACACAAGTTTTTAATCTGTTGAATCAAATATAAAGCCCTCAATTTTTTTAGGTTTATAATATACCAACCTAGAAATATTATGAAGCTGATATTAAGATAATAGCTTACATTTTAAAGTTAGAAGTTGTACTTTAAATGATTGATGGTACGCACAAAAGGCGAAACAAGCTATCTTAATAGACGTGCTTTTTATATATTATATTTAAAATGGTATGTTGTAAAAATGAAACAACAATTTTATGCATTTAAAATCTTCCTAATGTGGAAATAAAGTGTAAGATATAAAGATAAAAGATTTTCTTAAATGGAAAAAAATATTCACAAGTAGTAACACTAATTGAAATGGAACCCAAATGGGGTCAACTAATCTATTCCACATTTTATAATAAAATGGAACAGTACGATCTCTAAAATTAAACTCAATCACAAATTAAGTTTTAAAAAAGGGCACAAAATCTGTTAGTGGATTTAAAGTTTCAATTTTCAAGCTAATGAGAATGAGAAAGTGTTGCTTCCCTTCTAATTCAGAAAATTCCTGTACAGAGATAATTATATTTTATTATAATTTGTGTATCATGGCAGCAAATTGCCTGCTGAGCTCTCACCTAGCATAATGTTTGGCACATAGTAGAAGCTTAATAGGAATTAATGTTGAGCACCTTATCAAGACTCAGTAGAAAATATTTAATGGGGAATCAGAACTATACCTTTGGAAAAAAGCTGGCTTATCCCTTAATACTTGCACGCATGTTGCTGTGTTGTTTGGACATTTTAAGGTGGCTCTGTTGACAATTTTTGCCTAAGTAACAAGCTGATAGAGAACAAGATTCTTTCTGAATCAAGATGAGTTTTACCTAAATAGAAAAGAATCCATCAGTTAAGTAAGTAAATAGGAGCTATTTAAAATCAGCCCCTTTCTTGTTACTGTGGTGTGGGGTGTGAAAAATGTGATGCTGAATGGCACGAAGAATGTTTTTCGTTTAGACACAAGTTCTCCCCTTACCTTAGCAAGTAGGCATGCTGGAGTAGCAGCTGAGGATAAGGTCTAACAAATGGAAGATCTTCAAGGAAAGAGGCAATGTTTGAGATTCAAATTAATGTGATATATATATGGGAAATCTTGAGTAGTCTTGTTTTGTGAAAAGTTCTATTTTTTTGGCACCAACGTGGTTTTATAGAAAAATGTTGAGTATTAAGATGTAGGACAGTCTTTGCTCTATTATTGAAATTGATACCTGACCTTAAAAATGCCACTTAAAAAAAAAAAAAAATGCCACTTAACCTTTTGTGGTTCAGTATTCTCATCTGGCCATATTACACTATTAAATTGCTACTACATTTAAGCAGTTCATAGCTGTTAACCATGTAATAGAAAGAGGCTCAACATCGTTCGTCACAAAGGAAATACAAATTAAAAGCATAAGGAAGTATTAGTATACACCCACTAGAATAGCTAAAATTAAAATGACTGACAATAAATTAAATATACACTTTGCTCCTGGTTATCTACCCAAAAGAAATAAAACTATGTCCACAAGAAGACTATGTATATTTGTAGCAACAGTGTTCACTGTGGCCAAAAAAATAGAAGCAACTGAAGTGTAAATATGAATATTCATTATGGCATATTACTCAGTGATAAAAAGAAAAAACTAATACATGCAAAAACATGGATGAAACTCAGCTATATCAGGCTAAGTAAAAGACTCCATTCATACAAAATCCTAGAAAAACCTACTTGAGAACTCAGAGATCAGTGGTTGCCTGAAGTTTATAAGGATTAACTGGAAAAAGGGATATGAGGGAAACTTTGGGGATCCTGGAGTCTTTTAACACTTGATTGTGGTGGTCATTACAAGGCTATTCATTTATTAAACTGAATGAGTTGCAGATAAAATGGGCAGATCTTATTGTATGCACATTATACCATAGTAAAGCTTTTAAAAAATAGGAAAGAATTAAACTGTACATGTAAACTATTTCACATTGTATTTGTAATGTTGTTTCCATCTTTGTCTTTCCAGAAGGTTGTGAACTCTGTTTATTTTTTTAATCTTTATCACTTAGAACCCCTTGTCTGGCACACAGATGCACATTAAAATGTTTAATGAACAAGTTTGTTGGGTAAATGCCTATAGGAATGAGTGACTGAATAAAGAAGTTGGGGTCTCTGAAATTACTTACCAGCTCTTAGATTCTAGGATGCTAAACTTGCTGTTTCTATTCAATTAATCATTTTACAAGAAAAAGCATTTTTTATGTGGAATGAAAATCATGGATCTAAATACCATCCTATGGTTTATTTCAGCAAATTCAGCTTATCTTTTTGGTTAAAACTGTTCCAATTAATCAAATAGTCTGATAGATGTATTAGGACACTATAAAACATTATCAAGGTAGGGGAGTACCAAGTAACATATAATGGAGGGAAGATCATTAAAATTATGGCCTATAAGTTTAAGACATATTTCAGATATTCTGTACAATGAAATTTACCCAAAACTGAGTATTACTTTTTAAATAGCTCTAGGGGGACATATTTTTTTTTCTTTTTTTTTTTTTTTTTTGAAACAGCCTCAAGCTATCCCCCTGGGTAGAGTGCTGTGGCATCACAGCTCACAGCAACCTCCAACTCCTGGTCTCAAGTGAGTTTCCTGCCTCAGCCTCCCAAGTAGCTGGGACCACAGGCCCCTGCCACAACGCCCGGCTATTTTTTGGTTACTGCCATCATTGTTGTTTGACAGCCCAGGCTGGATTCGAACTTGCCACCTTAGGTGTATGTGGCTGGCACCTTAGTCACTTGAGCCATAGGCGCCAAGCCGGGGGGACATATTTTCATCAGTTCAGCATATTCCACCATTTCCCATAATGTGACATGTAAACAGTTGTATTTATTAAATGTATTTCCTTGGTCTCCGAAGGTATTTGTGTTGGTGTCCTGTGTTGGAAATATTAGACTCAGAAGCCAATGGGGAACAGTATTGATTATATTAGTGGTAAGTCGGAAATGGAGAAATAATTTAGATTCTAGGTAAACAGAGGTACTTTCTTCTTCCTCCCTTCAAATTGGCCAGTTGCAGGCTGAGAAGCTGAATCAGCTGGAAGACCCAGCTGTGGAACGTGACACCTAATTGTGCAGAATTAGTCATCTGTCTGAGCACAGATGATTAGAGAATGGAGAAGGGTAGAGAAGAAGGGAGAGAATGGGAGCCAAGGAGTGTATTGAGGGGGAGAGAGCTGTTTGCTGAGTCCAAGTTCACATCACTTGCCAATAAATTCAGAGACAACTGTTGGGACAAAGAAAGTGACTTTTATTCAGAGAGCCAGCAGACTGAGAAGTTAGACTGATGTCTTAAAGAACCATATTAAGTATGAACTTTGGGCTCCTTTTTCTGTTAATGGAAGGGGAAGAGAAGGGTTGCAGGAGGTAACTAAGGTCAACAAAAATCTGGGCGTCAGTCGGGGGTCTGATGAGATTGTAAAACTTCTTCATTCTTGGTCAACTGTGGAGGGTTTGGT